TGGCCAAACGAAAGTTTGGCAAGGGTGCCGTAACACGGGTTGAGAGGTGGATTCACAGGGCAATAAGTGTAAGGCACTGGGTCGCTGGGCGCCGATCATTTTTACGGTTGGTTTGGTCAACACCGAGACTTGGTAAAGGCACTTAACCAATTTGGACTGGATACCAAACGGAGAGATAGTTACTTACAGTCAAAGTGAAAATCCCAAAACTTCTCGTCAAGTCCACGGATATCGTCGATGGAGAGCCCTTTAGCGTATAAGCTGTCAGTTCCTCGCTCTCAGGGTTCGTTGACAACTGGAATAGCCCACCACTTTGTCGGACATAGTGATTGCGCTCTCTTATGGTGAAGGAGCAATACGGTCTGGGGAGGCCGGCTCATCCTTGTCTTTTGATCCACACCAAAGATCTTGCTTAAGTAGTGACTGAGAGAAGGGCATGATGGCGAATCAAGTGCTAAACCGTATCATAGAGCACATTGCCGCTGAGGTTAGCTTGAAATCCGAGGCCTTAAGAAGAGAAGCCATATACCCACTTAATATACCACTGCGTTTTTCTATGTTGATATTGGAATGCGTACAAACAAAAGCTGGGGAATGGAATTAGAAGCAGGTGTAGATTTGACAGATTGTTAGGGCAATGCGCAAAAATATATCCTGCCGCATGGAGCCAAACACACGATAGTAGCGCTTTGGGATTTTGAACTTGCACATTTTCAGCCACGAAGAGAGCCGGGCGATCCGTGCCGGCCGGACTTGGGTTACCAGCAGCTACATGGGCCATTCAGCTCTCATGGCACCGAAGACCGCGCTATCTATGCACATCAGCCCACCTTTCGCGCCGCAACGGTCCGTTCGTGGGCGGTATGGAAGGTGGGAGTCTTGCATCTAAGACATCTCGGACAGCGAACGTGATCATTGAGTGGCCAACGGCTGGCAATGCCCAGGCACGCTAGCATGCCCTTTTGGCGGACTGCGGCGAGTTTTCGGTCGATTTCCTCAGGGCTGGCCCGGCTGAGTATGAGGGATAAGCAAGTATCCAACCTACCCCGAGAGGTCGCACAAGGCGGTTAACGCGGTTTTGGTCCTTGACCTCCTGACGGTTGCAGACCTCCCCCACGCTAGGTGCTCTCGACGGTTGTCCTGTGAGTTGGAGTCATCGGACACCCTTCACTGTTCATGTATCCGGCGCCGATAGCTCGCTTTCTGGTTTTGTGAATCAACATGATGTGATGTATGTATCTTAGCCCCGAGCGAAAGCAATACCGGACTCATGGGACTGATTCTCCATACCTAAAACGGACCCTTGAATATTTGGCAAGTCTTGATTAGGTAGGTATGTAGGTGGAGCTTCCAAGGGGGTGCTTGGAAGAAGCCAATGGTTGCGGTCCATGCCGGGATGCCGTGGACTGTGTAGATGGCGTCAGGGTGATCGTTGACGGCGCGAATACCGATTCTACCCATGGACTCTTCTCGGCAACGGTCTTGGAATCAATCGCGAAATGGCACCCGCACAAGAACGAGCGGCTCCTCCTCCCTCCCACGGCCCGCTCCACCATGCTTCCATTAGCGAGCCGGCCCCCAATGAAGGGGCGGTCTGGGAACAGGCGGTCGATTCGTCGCGTTGGATTTTGAGACTTCCGTGGTTCTCAGCCACAATGGAGGCCGAACCTTTCTCGCGGATGATAGCAACGGGTCGCTGGCGATTAGGTGCCGAGAATGGAGAATGGTGATTCCATCACAATTGAGTCCGTCCTCACACCCAAGCCGAATACTTCTAGCCTAGGGCTGAATATTTAATTATCCGACGTGGTATTGTCCGTGTTGTTTGGTGGGTCTCTTGGTTTCTTGTCTTGCAGCAGAATGCAGGTGAGGCATCCACATATTCCCACGGTTGTGCGAACAAACCGAAGCCTTTTTTTTTTTTTTTTTTTTTTTTTTTTTTTTTTTTTGAATGGGCTTAGACTCTGGGGAAACGGAATAACTATCAAACAAGGGCGCTCAATTGCCTCCAATGTGATATGGGACCCTTCGAGCACCTTGATAATAACTGACAACCAGCACTGTCCCTGTGTCACGCTCCTCTCCATTTCGACATGCACCCCGGTATTTTCGAAATCGAGGAGTGCGACCCCGACTCGAACTTGGGACGACCCCTTGGCTCAGGTCCTGGGTGCCTCGTCCAATCAACACCGCTCTAGTCAGGCACAACCGGTTCGCAGCCGTGGAAAAGGTTGGACGGGACTTCGGGAACGCCGACCTTTTTGGTGATGATTACGACAGAGATGTGCAATGTCGCGTCGGAGCGACCTGGCTAAAAAGGGTATAAGCTGGAAATCTATCCCGGAAAGAAAGCGAACGCGCAGCCCTCCTGTGGCCAAGTACTTGCCACGATTCAACGGAAACTGTTGTCCTTCAATAACTGGCAAAGTTTTGATGCCATTTTCCCCACTTCGCTCCCGTGCACCCTTCCATCGTTCCACCGGTCCCAGGCGAGCTCGCCTGACTTGGCGACGGCCAACCTCCTCCAACCCATCCAATTAATTCCATCCCTTTCTTTCCAAGACCCGCCCGAGTTCCACCCACATGGCCTTTTTGCGCTCGACCTCTTGACAACCACCAGAGATCGCCGTAGCTTCCTCCGTCGTCCCAACTAACAACACCATCGAACGACGACGGCCGTCAGCATCATTCGATAATCGCACATCATTTCTGCGACACCGAATTTATCGTCGATCGCTCCGTCGCGCTCTTTTCGAGCCAATCCGCTTCACTACCGACCGCTGCCGCCGTCGATTGCAGCTA